ACGACAGCTTCCCTTGAGCCAGGGCTTGGGGAGGGGTGGGCTGAGTGGAGACTGGTCTTTTCACTCAGGGGTCCCCTGCCGGGAACCTGGCCTCCTTTTCCCACACACAGCTCACAGACTGCCTATGTGCAGGGGTCAGAGATGCTGGGAGCCAACTATCCCCTCTTGCTACCGTGCCTCTCTGTAGCTGGTGGCAATAAACTGGGCAGGAGAGCGGGTGGCAGTCTCCTGGAGCAGAGTCCTGCCTAATGGTGGTGTAGGCAGCAGGAGGGAACGACAGAACCACGGATTAGGGTGTGGACTAGGGTCTGGAGTTGGGACATGTTGGGTTGTATGTTTTTGAAGCTTCAATTATGATTTTTAAACAATAAAAACTTCTCCAAAGCTCCTTGTACTCGTTAGTTGCAGTGTTGACAGGCTCAGGTGACTTTCTTTTCTTGGCACCAGTGTGATCAGGATCCACGCCAGGGTGAGGTGAACTGAGGCATCAGATAAATAAAATAAAGGACTAGACTGGCCTCCTGGCTCTTCAAATCAGGGCCTACACTTCTAAGTGCTCAAGGGGTGAACGAGAGATGGAAGTCAGAGGGCTTGTCAACTTGCAGGGAATCTCCAGGTTTGATTCTTAGTTCTGCACAAACCAGGCATGATGGTGCACACCTGTAACCCAGCCCTGGGTCAGGTTCCAGAGGAAACTCTTGGCTATATGAGAATCTGTCTCAAAAAAAAGTCGAGAAAGAGTGAGATGAGCAGCTGGCCTTGTGTGCCCAGGAGAGCGACGCCGGGCAGGGTGCAAACAGTTCTGCCCAACGGCAAAAAGGGGCGCCTCAGCTCCCCAGCCAACCCTAGCTGCACATGGCTGGGGACATACACCTGTTGTTGTCAAGTGTCCTAGGACTAATGGCAATGTCCCCACTGGGTCAGTGTGGTTAGGCATGTGTCCCTGGGTCACCGCACACACCCCTTTGTCCCTGAGTCCTCCTGTGGCGTGGCGTTCAGCCTCTGGTCCAGCACCACTTTCTGCCTTGCCTGCTCACTTAGTCACGTTTTCTTTCAGGTTGGTTGGTAGGACAACTTTGTCTTGCCAGCCTGTCTGTAATCTCCTTGAGGGCTGGGCTTCTAGCCTCGGAGGCCACCCATATACCTGCCTGGCACACCATTTGGCTGGTTAAAGTATTATTTGTTGCGGACTGCACACTGACACACCTCACCAGCAACGCAATTCACTCAGCATGTTTTGGTCTTTGCTTCGGTTCCTGATCCCAGCCCAACCCTGGTCACAGTGACCCAGCTTTGCTACATGCTTCTAGGTAATGCCACCTCGGCGTCATAAAATGTCTGAACCTGCTTATACGAGATAGGACTCCCTCTAGCTCCCCACTCTTGTCTTTCCAAATGATCTTATCCTTGTGCCCAAATAGTTCGTGCTTTGAATAGTCTATTATTTTTGTTTCCTGGGGCAAGGTAGCTTCTCTTGGCTACACAGAACAGGCTGGTCTTTAGCAAGGAGGTTGACAAAAAAGAAAAGAAAAGAAAAAAAAAAAGGCTCAGATTCAAGAATGAGAGTCAGAAACTCTTGGCAAATGGACCAACTGTAACAATGACAAACTCAAAGTCCTAAACTCGCCAAACCAGGAGAGGGTTTTCTTTGGATCAGGTGACTATGACCCTGTGGTACTGGGCATTACCAGCAAGAACATAACTACAGCCAGATGCTAGGCAGATGAGAGCTGCCGGGTGCTGCAGCTCAGATTATATGATAATATCAAAAAACACAAAAGAGCACATTTAAAGATCATAGACAAGGGGGTTGGAGAGATGGTTCACTGGGTAAGAGAACTTGTTGCTCTTGCAAAGGACCTGGCTCATAGCCATCCACAACTCCAGTCACGGGATCCAGGGCCCCACTGACAATGAATGCATGGGCGTACACACGTACATGAAGGTAGGACACCCATACACATTGAACATACATTTCTAAATTAAGGATACAGTTCAGGGTAGAGTGCTTGCTTAGCATGCCCCAGGTTCTGGATTCAATCCAGCCCTGAAAAAAAAAAAATGAAGATCTGCCTGAGCCTTTAGGGGAGCTGGCAGCAAGAGCTTCTGCAGCCAACCCTGCATGAACCACTCAGGTCTCTGAGCCTCCCTCAGTTTAGCTCTGCTCAGCCTGTGTGACTTGTCCAGGGGAGAGAGGCCATTACTCTTTCATCACCCCCTTCATATAGCCCAGGCTAGCCTCAAACTTGCTACATAGCTGAGGATGACTTTGAACTTCTTTGTTTTTATTAGCATATATAACTATACACAACAATAGGCTTCACTATTACAGAGTATATATGATGTATATATATACACTATTAAAGTATACTCTATTAGAGTATATATGATGTATATATATGCACTATTACAGAGTATATATAATGTATATATACTATTAAAGTATACACTATTACAGAGTATATGTGATATATATATACACTATTACAGAGTATATATAATGTATTTTGATGACCATATTAGCTCCTCACCCTGCATTTCCTTCCTGCTCATCCCCTTCCTCCTCCCTCCTCACAACCAATTCCCCTTCTACTCTCTTGTTAGTTTTTAGTGATCTTTAGGGTTCTTTTGTTTTTTGTTTTTTTTTTTTTTTTTAAAGATTTATTTATTAATTATGTATACAACATTCTGCCTCCGTGTATGCCCGCACGCCGGAAGAGGGCGCCAGATCTCATTACAGATGGTTGTGAGCCACCATGTGGTTGCTGGGAATTGAACTCAGGACCTCTGGAAGAGCAGCCAGTGCTCTTAACCACTGAGCCATCTCTCCAGCCCGGGTTCTTTTGTTTTTGAGACAGGGTTTCTCTGTGTGGCCCTGGCTGTCCTGGAACTTTGATCAGGCTGGCCTCGAACTCAGAGATCCAGCTGCCTAAAGGCATGCGCCACCACCAGGCTCTTAGCGTTCTAACAATAACTCAGAGAAGTTATTAGGGGCATGAGCACCTTGCCATAACCCTGAAGAAAAATCTCTTCCTCCCCCAGTAACCACAAACTGCTAATTAATCCCCTGGGGGTGAGCAGTGAGCCCCTTTCCTTCCCTAATAGGATGCCAGGCCCAGTCTCACGCAGGTAACCATTACAACAGCTGTTAGCAGCCAGGCGGTGATGGTGCCAGCACTCAGGAGGCAGAGGCAACACGGAGGAACCCTGTCTTGAAAAACAAAACAAGGTCTAGAGAGATGACTCAGTGGTTAGGAGCACTGGTTTCCAGAGGACCAGGGTTCAATTCCCAGCACCCACACAGCAGCACACAACTGTCTATAACTCCTGTTCCGGAGGATCTGACACCCTCACACATACACACAAAATGCTAATGCACATAAAATAAATAATAGAAAAAAAGCTGTAAACTGGAGTGTCGTGGCTGTGTCGTTTTCTACATTTCTACAACACAGCCCCTTCCTCTAATTCTGCATTCTTTTTTCTTTTTAATCATTTGTTTTTATTTTTTTATGTACATAGGTGTTTTGCTTGCATGTGTGTCTGTGTGAAGGTGCCAGAACTCTTGGAGCTTGAGTGATGAGCTGCCATGTGGGTGCTGGGAGTTAAACCTGGGTCCTCTGGGACAGCAGTCAGTGTTCCTAACCACTGAACCATCTCTCCGGCCCCCAGTTCTGCATTTTTTTCCGCCCTTTTCCACAGTGATCCCCGGGCCTTGGGTAGGTGGTTGTCTCACTAAAGCCGAGGATCCAGCACTTTGACAGTTACGACAAATTATCAAAACCCCCTACAAAAAGAAGCTTCTCTGACCAAAGTTGACTATCTATGGGCATAAAAATCACTATTTGGAGCCAGGAGGTGGTGGGGCAGGCCTTTAATCTCAGCACTCAGGAGGCAGAGGCAGGCAGATCTCTGTGAGTTGGAGGCCACCTAGTCTACAGAGTGAGTTCCAGGACAGGCTCCAAAGCAACACAGAGAAACCCTGTCTTGGAAAACAAAAGAACAAACAAACAAAAAATCACTATTTGGATGTCAACTAGACAAACACATCATGTCTATTTTCCAGAACAAAAGCAGTACCTACCCTGCTGGGTCCGATGACTTCCCAGCCAAAGACACTGACCCCGACTACAGCACAGGGTAGATTCCCTCCCGCGGAGCCAGCCTCAAACCCAATCAGGAAGTCACCGCTTGCTCTTCTACTTGACACTACTGTATGCCAGAGGCCCTGGGTTCTATTTTACCCAGCCAGTCAATAGTGTAATACACACAGGTCCCAGCTGAGAAAGACCGGGGATGACAGTTCTCTCAGCAGCCTGCCCAGCTCCTGCATGCAGAGGGAGGAAGTCCGCAGGTCAGGGACAGTCTTACCACTGAGGTCTGGCTAGCAACTAGCAGCAATAACAATTTCCTCCTGCTGTGGTGACCCCCATCCATAAAATGCCATTGCTACTTAATTGTAATTTTGCTGTTGTTATGAATCGTAATGTAAGTATCTGAAATGCAGGATATCTGATATGCGACCCCCAGGCTGAGAACCACTGACCTATACACAATGAAGAGTTTCTGACAAATGAGGTAGCCAGTTGTTGCCAGTCAGCATGTTAAAAGAATGGGAATCTCAGGTCCGGCAGCAGTGGCACACACCTTTAATCCCAGCACTCGGGAGGCAGAGGCAGGCGGATCTCTGTGAGTCTGAGACCAGCCTGGTCTACAGAGCTAGTTCCAGGATGGCAAGGGATACATAGAGAAACCCTGTCTTGAAAGGGAATCTCCTGCTGTGCCCTCCCAAGCAAAGATAGGTAGCTGATGCCTAGGAAACATGTGGCCACCAGAGGGCACCCTCGCTGCAGGAATGTTCCTGCCCAGTCAGCTAGGCTTCAGCATCAGAAGATGTGTAATGTTCCTTGACCCAAAAGGTGGGAGTGGAATGGCTCAGAAAGAGACAGCTTGAGATGAGGTCAGTCAGATAAGCGTGCTCCTCCTCCTCTTTAGCCAGTAAAACCCTGCGGGAATTGAAACAGAGGTTGGGATGTCCCTCCAACTCTCCTACCATTGACTGGGCAAGGCTTTTTCCCTCTCTGGCTCAGTCTCTCCAGAGCCATCACTGGACAGAGTTCTAGGACTGGAGACGCAGTTTCTCTTTTCTCACCCCAGCCTGCATCCACTTGATTGTGTCGGGTAGAGATCATCGGGACCCCGAGTGTCCTACTCCGACTCCAGAACCCCCGGACTCAGCCACGGTAGGGTAACATGCCAGGAGAGCCAGGCAGGGAAACAGAACGGCAAGGTCAGGTGAGCAAAGTGCCCCAGAGGGTCTTGATTCATTCAGGACAGACATCCGGTTTCCTCTGGCCTCTCTGCCGGGATCCAGGGGCTTAAAGGGATGAGTCACAGTGGTGGGTATTGGGGAGTTCCCAGCTAATCAGCCTGGGTCAGAGCAGCCCGAATGCTGAATTGCTTTGTTTTTTATCCATATGTGGAACGGGCACAGAAAACAATACCCCCGGGTGCTGTCCAGGGCTCCTGGCACTACTGCAGGAGGCAGCCGCCTGGGAGCTTTTGGGTACAGAAAGAGAACAATGGGTTCTTCCTTCTCTCTCAGAGTGTTTGCCCCAGGTATAGGTATCTTGAGAATCACAGAAAGGGCAGAGGGGGCAACCCTGGCATATCTGGCAGAGGATAGAAAGACAGGAGCAGTCTTGACCTGGGGGCCTGATTCTTCCCCAAGGTCTGGCTGAGTTCCCTCTGTAGCCCCCAGGGCTTCGCCAGCACTTCAGCCCAAACACCCTGGAGCAATTCAGGCCTGGGTGTGGCTGGAGGAAGAGTTTGAGGGGGACAAGACGTCAAGGAAGGAGCAGAGATTCCCCGATTTCACAAAACTTTCGCAAAAGCTTTTCCCAACCCCCTGCATTGTCCTGGGCGACAGAAGAAAATTTGCATAAATCCTGGGAAGTTATTACTAAGCCTGACTGCCCCAGCCCCAGGTAATTTCCTCCCAGGCCTGGATGGGGTTATGTATAAAGGCCCCCTGGAGCTAGGCCCTGGCAGAACCCAGAGCTGAGCCCACAGCACCCAGAACCCATGGCTCAGCCTTCTGCCCAGAGCCGCAGGAGACTGATGGGTGAGTGGCCCTGATTACCTGCCCTGGACGAGGAAAGGAGGGAGGCTGGAGGGGCCGAGTGTCTCTAACCTGTCTGTCTGCTGCCAGCCCTACAGTTGCTGCTGTGGCACAGTATCCTCTGGGCAGGACAAGAGGCCGCTCCGCTAGTCTCCGTCACCTCTCTGCCACCACCCCTGCCTTTGCCCCGGAGCTTCCTGCTTAAGTCCTTGGAGCAAGTGAGGAAGATTCAGGCCGGGAACTCGGTGCTGCTGGAGAAGCTGGTAAGTGGTGTGTGTGGGGGGGGGGGGTGCAGGCAGGAGGGGCACAGGAGGGCAAATGGGAAGGGAGCAGGCTAGGGGGACGCAGCGGCCACGTTTGCCTAGTGTGCACAGGGCCTGGATTCCACACCCAGAATACTGACAAAACACTGAGGAAGGGAACATGGGACATGAAGGGGACATGGGAGAAAATGAGAAGAGGCAGCAGTGGGGCAGTACTTAGCGTTCTGGGAAGATAGGGAGCTGAGAAGCCAAGTGGACAGAGAGGACTTGGGAGGGAGGCACAGCCTGGCCCAGTGCCCCTCACGACCCATCCATCTACAGTGTGCTACCTACAAGCTGTGCCACCCGGAGGAGCTGGTGCTGCTCGGCCACTCGCTGGGTATCCCACAGGCTTCTCTGAGCCGCTGTTCCAGCCAGGTTCAGCAGCTGGTGAGTATTTGGAGGAGAAGGGGACCAGAATAATGGGAAGGGACTACACCGTGGTATTTGGGCTCCTGAAAAGAAGGGGTGTCCCACTGCATACCGCCTAACCCTCCTACTGTCCCCAGACAAAGTGCCTGAGCCAGCTCCACGGAGGACTCTTCCTCTACCAAGGCCTCCTTCAGGCCCTGGCAGGCATTTCTCCTGAGTTGGCTCCCACCTTGGACACGCTGCAGCTGGATGTTGCCAACTTTGCCACCACCATCTGGCAGCAGGTGAGCTCCATCTGGAGGGGCGAGGAGTAAGAGTGAGGATGGGGTCACACCAGCTTACCTGGGCACCCTGGAGGCTCCTGTATTCTCAGAGGCCTGTGTACGGGGAGTCCCCACTCCGTTCCTTCTGGCTGATTTAGAGGAAACAGATGGGGACTGGAGCCTTGGCTCTTGCTGTCCACGTGAAGAGTGAGCCCCACGGACAGCTCACTAACTCCCAGCACTCCGTTGCCTGCAGGAAGGACTGATCCCCAACTTCATTTTCTCCTCCCTGCAGATGGAAAACCTGGGGGTGGCCCCTACGGCGCAGCCCACTCAGGGCACCATGCCCACCTTCACCTCGGCCTTCCAGCGCCGGGCGGGAGGTGTCCTCGCCATTTCCCACCTGCAGAGATTCCTGGAGACGGCTCACTGTGTTCTGAACCACCTGGTCCAGCCCTGAGCAAAGCCCTTTCCAGCTATTTTATTTATCTCTATTTAATATTTATGCTTATTTAAACCTACTATTTAAAGATGGAGAAGAGAAAATGGAGCGCCAAGCTTCTAGGCCCTTCACTCCACTCCTGAGTTTTGTTCTCCTGCTTGTAATAGAGAGGGGAAGCTCTTGAGTCCTCCTGCCCCCAGGGCTGGAGGGAGATAGGTAAATACCAAGTATTGATTCCTGAGGCTGCTCCAGGCACCCAATTCTGTGGCGGTGCAAAAGCCACAGTGAGTCCCATCACCCTGAGACACCTATCTCAGGGTCCTGGCAGCATCAGGAGGTCTCCCTTTGGGGAGACAAGACAACCCTGTTTAATATTTAAACAGAAGTGTTCCCAAACTGGGTTTTTGTATCCCTTGCTCTGCTCACCACACGCTGCATGTTTCCCTGTCCCCAAAGCGGCAGAGGCAGCCAGGTTTGGCCCTGGAATTTACTGGATTGTTAGGGCCTTCCTGGGCTGGGCGGGGGGGTGAGAGAGAAAAGGCAGGAGGACCCCCCCCCCCAGGAGGGCACGGCATGGAGGGAAGCCTACCTGTCTAAACTCCCTCTAGGCCCCACTTGCTCACTGTAACCAAGCTTGAAGAATAAAGTGTCTGTATCCAGTTAAAGTCCTTCTTCCTTCTTGGGTTTGGCTGATGCCTGTCCAGGGGCTGGTGGATGGCAGGAGAGGATGGGGCTGGGACTGACTGGTCTGGGCGCCGCTCTGTACGTCCTAAGTGACAGGGACACAATAGTGGAAATGCACACTTGCCTTGAAAGTCAGAGTTTCTTGAGGAAGATGGATCATGAGTCAGCGGGACAGGGGGGCACAATGATGGGGGCAGATGAGCTGCAGCCTGGGCACACTGAACATGTGCACACGATGTCTCTTCACCGCTCTGAAGAGCTCTCCACAAAGCGTCCGCCCTTGAGAATGATACCATGCCTTTTACAGGCAGAAAGCTGGGTCAGAACTCCAGTTCTGCGCTGGCTTTCTCTCCGTGAGCTCCGTCCCCTTGCTATCATCCCTTGGAGCACTTCCCTACTTGGCTCAGCTCCTGAGCTGAAGAGGTCTGGAAGGGTGGGGTGTCTGGAAGAGCAAACTGGAGGCACACTTGCAGTTGAAGGTCAGCTGCAGGCTCCCCTGTGCGTGGGGCTCCCCAACCAGGCCGACCCAGGCACCTTCCTCTGCAGCCCTCCAGAACCCTCCACACCACTGGCTCCTCAAAGCCCCAGCACCATCCCCTCCCACAGCCTCACAGGTCCATGTCCCTGGACGCGCATCCCTCCACCAATCTTCTGGAAGGAACACGTGGTGAACTCTGGGCCAGAGGGTGGAGTGTGACTGCGGAGGAGACATCCTGCCCAGCACAGGGCCCTTCAGCACAACTTCCCGCTTTCAGTGGGGAAGGCTGCGGACCCCTCATCATTCCAGTGGGGCCTGTAGACAATGCCTGGCCTTCCATGCCTTCTCCCTCCCACCACAGGACCATGCCCCTCCCTAGCCACAACACAAGAGACTTCAGAGAAAAGAACTGTCCCCACCCAGGCAGTAAATCTGCCAATAACACTCAATTGTCACAGGAGCCACAAGGATCTTTATTTACAAATGAACCAAGAGGGACTCCCCCTCATGAGTTATAAAAATAAATTTATATACACACTGTGGCCCTACAAAGTCCCTCCTTGGAGTTCAGCTACTGCTAGAATTGGTGCAACCGGCTGAGTGGTGGTGGCGCACGCCTTTAATCCCAGCACTCAGGAGGCAGAGGCAGGCGGATCTCTGTGAGTTCGAGACCAGCCTGGTCTACAGAGGGAGTTCCAGGACAGTCAGAGTTCAGAGTTGCTACACAGACAACCCCTGTCTGGCTCAAAAAAAAAAAAAAAAAAGCAAACAAAGAATTGGGGCGACCATTAGGACTGTTCACAGTCTTTGAGCACTGGTGGAAAGGACAGAAAATTACGGAAGGAACTGGGAGATGTGGTAGGACACCGTGAGTAGAGGGCAGGAATGGGGAAGGGCCCCAGGCCGAGAAAGCATTCTTGCATTGCTGGATGGGGCAGCCTGGGCTCATCCTTACTCTCCCTGCTGGGTTGCTGGGGCTGGGACCCCTCCAGGCCACTCCAAGCTCCTCAGAGTGCAGCGATGGCTTTGGCAGCCACTTGTCGACCCAGGGGCAGGCTGAGGTCTGTGATGGCCAGTACTACCTTGGGGCTGGACATGGCAGACACCTTTACCAGTTCTGATACCTGCCGCAAAAGATGAACACAGGTAGCTCCTGGGTGTGGCCTCCCAGGGGGAAGTCCTCCCTCCCTCCCTTCTCTCCTGAGGTTACCCCTGCTCCTGGCTCCCACAGGGGACACTCACAGTAGTGAAGGGCATGAACTGCAGAATGCTGCCCCTGCTGTCCTGTTCCAGGCAGTCCACACACTCCTCCATGAACCACTGCACAAACTGGGTGTGGGGGCCAGCTGTGCGCGAGCCCAGGATGGAGGAAATGAGCAGGAAGAGGTTGGCTGTGCAGAGGGAAACAAGATAGCTGAGTTCTAGAACAAGTCAGATGAGGAAGAAGGGGACCAAGGCGGGGGGAAGGAGCAGTAAGAGCTCACACAGGAAGGCCAAGGGCAGCAGGCACAGGGGAAGGCGGAGGAAAGGGGGCAGTCAGCAGTGAGGGAGCAGGAGGCATGTGGAAATGGAGCAGGATGTCAGGGGCCCAGAGGAACACTCTGGTAGATGCCTCCCTGCCTCTGACAAGAGGGTTCCTTCTAGCTCAGTCTGCAGATGGGTGCAGCTGCCAGGACTTACCCAGGACTCGGTTTAGAGGGTCCCTCATGTTGACTGTGTGGAGTTGGGAAGCCGAGAGGGAGCTGTTCATGGAGCGGTCAGCTGTGGAGTGGCAGAGAGGGTGCTGTGTAAAGTCTAGCTCTAGGGGAGCCTTTCCTGTCCCTACCCTCAGGGAGTCTGGCACATGCGGGGCACAGAAGAGCCTGAATCTGGAGAATAGGTGGGAGGACTAGCCCTGCTGAGCACCGTCAGGGGCCAATCCTGGTACTCTGTGTGGCTGAAGCTGCCCATCCCACTCAAAGTTCATGTTACAGATACACGATGTTTGCTAAGGGCTTGGCTAAGGTTGGAGGCGACCAATCAGCATCTTTCCTTTGCGCAAGCACGTGGCTGGCTCCCTGGTCCCTAAAAGGCTACAGAGAAACTTGTAGGTTCAGGAGAAACTCTGAAAACAGGTAAACTCGGACGCCATACAAAGACTTGGCAGAAGGAAATCTGCCAGCAAGGAAAGGACGACACGGGCTGTCCTCTGGGGAGGAAGGCGGGAGGGCAGCCCCAGGTCACAGCCTGGCGGGGCCTGTTCTCAGCCACAGGGCATGTCTCTGGGTTAGAAGGAAGGCAGAGTAAGTGAGTCAGCGGTATGTGGTGTGCCAAGGTAGTGAACTCACTGTGTCTTGTCATCCTTTAGCTGGTGACGAGAGGGATAACTGTGGGACTGAGAGGGGCCTTGGAGGAGAGCTTCAGGTACTATGGAGAGTGGCAACCCTGTCCCCACCAGAAGACACCAGAGCATCCACTAGGTGACAGAGGTGCTAGTTCCTGCCACACCACACTGTCTGACAGCCAAACACTGCCGCCATCTGGGAACCAAGGCAGGTCCCGAGGGATGAGTGGGTCCTAGCAAGCCCGTGACCTCTCAAGTACTCACTGGGACTCGATAGAATGTTGGCGTCATCCTCGTTGGAGCTCAGGAGTCGCATAAGCTTCGAAGGTTGCATGTCTTCCACGGGGAAGAGGCTGATGTAGTCCTGGAGGTGGGGAGTCACTATCACACACCCAACCTCCCAAGTCTCCAAGGACTGGAGAGGAAATCAGATCTGAGTGGAGAGGAGTGAGCTTCCTAGTCCTTGACTAGCAACCCCAACGGTGACCCTTCCCACACCCCAATCTCTGCCCTAGTGTGCAGAAAGGACCCTCATCAAGGATACTCAGGGGCCCACTCGAGCCACTCTCCCAGATCCTGACCAATCACATGACCAAACATGCTGACCTCAGCCCCACCCTCTGCCTGGGAAGGCAGCTCTCAGCTAGAAATAATCAGAAAATGTCTGCTGAATAAACACATGACCGAGGCAGCAGGCCTACCTCAATGTCTTCCCTGTGCCTCTTCTTCTGGCGGGAGGACGCCTGTCCCTTGTGGGTGGAGTAAGAACTCAGGGCACACCACACAGCTAGTCTGGTAAAGGGGTCCAGAAAAAAGGCATCGTTAAGAGGGTCCCGAAAGAAGCTGTGTGTGCTCATGCTGAACAAGCTCTTCCCACCACCACCGCTTGGCAGCCCCCCAACCACAGCCTAGCTTCCTGAGGTGGCGGCAGGGCTGGGGTGCCTAGATGCCTGGGTTTCAAGGGGGCACACCAGGAAGGCTCTGGAGACTCCTACTTGGCTAGTGCAGTGCCAGGAGGGTCCATAAGGCTGTGCCACTTGGAGGAGTCAGTAAGCAGGCCGGGCAGGATGTGGCCCAGCAGGACCAGGGTCACTTGCTGCATGTCCAGGCAGAAGATGGAGTAGAGAAGCTGTACTGCCCTCAGTGTGTGCTCCTTGCGAGTCTCCTTCAGCAGCTCCTGGGCAGAGTGGGCAAGCAGCGGCTGAGGTTCTCACACTCTGCCATCTCTACAGCCAAAGGTGCTATCAACCCCAACTTGAAGGTGCTTCTCTGAGATGAGCCCCTACCTCTGTCTCCCTAAGGGACCACCCAGCTTCCAGCAACCTCTCCAAGAAGCCTGGACTCTCCCAGCCGTAGACACCCACGGCCCCAGTCTACACAGATGTCCACATCCAAGTACCTTGATGAGGTTGTTGCAGAACCAGTAGACGCCGCCCATGTGCAGCAGGGTGTCGAGGATGTGGATGGAGCGGCTGTCCACCCAGCCCCTCTCCAATACCTTGGCAAAGATGTCTGTCAGTACCTCCTTGATAGGGCGCTTGGGAGGAAGCAGGTTCCAGTAGGGCATCGTGTCCACACCCGTGGATGGAAACTTGATCTGTGTGGCTGTCTGCTGAAGCACGTCCGCACACATGTGTTCCAGGATTGAGTTCATAATCACCACCCTGGGGGGCCAGGAGGATTCATGCAGGCATTACCCCCAGAATTAGGTTACGGAAACACGGCTGAGGAATTAGACCCACTAACACTAGGGGAAGACACGACAATATAACCTACTGCTGACGGGGAGCTTACCTGCTGGGCATGAAGCCCAGACGAGGCAAAGGGCAGGGATTGTCTTCTCTTACAGGTTCCATCCATCTATTCAGATTTTGTTCCTCCCTCTCCCCTTCCAACTTCTCCCAACCCCCAGGCCTGAGCTCTGCCAAATCAGAGTCATAAATAAATACAATCACTTCCCCCTGAGCTGAGTACTTTGGGGGCAGGGGTCCCGCCCAGCCTTGGCCTTCTCCCAAAGTAAACTGTAACTTCCAGGAGGAGCCCTTGGGCCTTCCCCAGAACTCTTCCCGGTCCTGGGTAGCGGGGCAAAGTGTTCATAGCCAGGAAAATGCTGAGGAACATCTGGGGCTATGACGGCGGCGGGGGTCTGGACTGTCTGGAGCACAGGGACACTGAGGCTACTAGAGCCCTCTGCCACCTGCACAAGGGAGCCCGGATTCCACTGCACATATGCGTGTGTGCGTGTATGTGTGTACACGTGCATACGCACATACACGCTTGAGATGGATGATGTCAAAGCCAATGTACCACAAGCAAGGAGAGATGTGACCTTACAGGCCCTCCCCAAACCTGGTTCCAGCTGTGTTTCCTTCCACGTGTTGCTCAGAAACCATCCAAGTGGCTACCTGTGAGCTGTCTCAGCACCCACACTCCGGGCGGTGCTCCCTGAGTGCCCCTTGAGTGAGGAGGGTGGCCAGAAGGGACACACACATCCGATGTCACTCAGCCTCAGATCTCTGAGTTTAGGGTCAGCCTGGTCTACAGAGCAAGCTCCAGGACAGCCAGGTCTACATAGAGAAACCCTGTCTCAAAAAATTCGTCCCCACCCCCCCCACCTCACCCCACCCCCGCCAAAAAAGGGGAGGCAGGAAATCCTGCTCCATTGTAGAATATGAATGATTTTGAGGAAAGTGCGCTGAGTAAAATCATGAGAAAGCAGGTATTATGTAATTCTAGTATGATGAAGTATCTAGCATAGCCAAACTCAGAGAGACTGAGAGAAGGGGGTTGGACAACGCTTACTGGGTAAAAGGCCCAGATATACAAAATGAAAAACGTCTGGAGGTCTATTTCACAATTCCAACAGATCCCATACACTGAACGACACACATAAACACAGCTGAAATGGTCAATTTTCTATTACGTGCTTCTTGCCACATTTAAAAACCAACAGCCAAACAACTTAACAGTGGAGTGAATGATCCGACTGAACTCAGAGAGGCGGAAGTCCCTCAAGAGCCAGTACTTGACATGGTCACCAGGACAGCTGGGGGTGGGGGAGGGCAGCTATAAAAACTGCAGATGGCTCAGAGTTCCTCGACAGTGACACAGCCACCTAAACCCTCTGAGGACAGACGTCAAGCTGCCTGGGGTCTGTATTTCCCACACAGGGGCGGTCCAGGATTAAAACACTCCCGATACAAAGACACACACCAAAAATCTGCTGAACCAGGCGAATGACTACATGGGTAAGAGTGGGAGGAAGTGGTGGGGAAAGGGAAAAGTGAGTGGCAGTCCAACTGCCCTGAAAGTGCACCAGCTCAGTGCTAACAAGGTGGGCTGGGCAGACGCAGACGGAAGGTAAAAGCTGACAGCACTGGAGTGGGATGCCCGACCCCGACCCTGGAGGCGCTGACTCCTCACCACACACCTGCAGGGGCCGGGAAGGGTGGGGCAGGTACTGACCTCTCATTGTAGAACTGCAGGGTGTTCTCACTGTACAGTGGCCCTGCCAACTGGCGGATCATCTGGAGCGACTTCTCACGCTCATCCAGCCCCAGCATCCGGACATGGGCTACAAGCCAAGCCACAGCACACACCGCAAGACTGCATACCTTTCCCTTGATATTATCGGTGATTTTCTGTGGGGAGCAGGAGAATGACTGAGGGACGCTCTGCCTCCCGCTGGCTGCCATTCCCATGGCCTCTAGGAGTGGCTGGGGATCACGTGTAAAATTTCAAGGTACATTCCATACCATACCTCTACAACACAAATTTGATTTTCTAAAAGATAACTGGGAAGAAGGAAGTGGCTAAGAAAAGCATTCTAAGACTAATACCAAAACACAATCTCTGTTGTTGATTGTTGAGGATTGATTTGCATGCAAAATAACAGTTCTCAATGACTGGCCCTGTGTCTCAGACAAGAGAGGCTCAAGTAAGGGTGAAGCTACCTGGATGGACTCGAAGGCCAGAACCCCATTCTCCCAGGCATTGAGGATCTCTAAAATGGCTGCGGAAATGCTCAGGCAGGCTTCATGCCACTTCATCTGTCTACAGAGAGGGTGGGGTACGACGAACATCACTACAAGGGAGCTGGAGACAGGTCGTGGGGAAAGGGTCTTGGAATGCCCCCCTACTACCCCAAGGTCAGCCCTAGGCCACTAACACTAGTTTCATCTCTGAGGAGTTGTTGAGCAAGGCCACCAAGGACTCTACTTTGGTGGAGTCTGGTCGGAAGCAAGGGTGATCAGGGTTCAAAATCTTGCCCTCCTCAGGCATGCAAGTCTGCATCCAGGTCTCAAAGAAGGGTACTTCTTCTCCTGAGCTTGCCTCGGAGAGAATCACCTAGATAAGACAGAGAGGCTTCAGGTTAAGAGAGAGGAGGGTATGGCTCTTGCCAGAGTTGAGCCCAGGGACTGGGCCTCAGAACCCTCCCCCATTGCCTTTCCCTTTCCAAGGACAAATCTGTCCAGGAGAGCCAGACAGGGAGTTGTGCTGCCACCTAGTGGTCAGTATGAATGTGTCACTAGAGGGCTTGGGAAGCTGGGTACCCACTGACGTAGGAGGCACCTGATTTCAGGCCAATAGGACCTGCTGGCTTGGAAGAGCAATGGAGGCAAGGGTAAGGTAAGGGAGTTACTGACCATTTCCCTCCTCTTTGTCCCACTCAGGTGGTGACTCTTAATGGCCCCAGATCTCATCTCACTCACCTCTGAGCCATAGGTCTGGGCCACGTGGCACAGCATGAGGAAGGAGATGTCAAAGAGCAAGGCACGAACAGAAGCTGTTTTTGCTGTGGGAAAGGCAGGAACAACAACCTCTCAGCCCAGGGCAGGTGCCCAAGCCCTGTCCAGATGAGGAGGTGCTGGGGACAGAAGGCCTCGTGCATAGTAGGCAGGCATGGAGGCTACACCCCAGCTCAGGATTTCCCGGAGGAAGGTCAGAGACCAAGTGGGTCCTTCAAAGCTCTGAGGCTCAGAATCCTTTTCTTGGGTCTTACTTAGAACATCATCCCTTCCTTGGAGTTCCAGAACCCAAACCCATCTGAGATGGTACAGGTACAGAAAGGTGGCCCCTCCCTTCCTCCCCCTCAGTGCAGACGGGATCTGCAGATGCACGCAAACTTACTGCTCTCTCCACTGCCATGGGTAGTGAACTCATTCAGACTGCGGGAGAAACAGAAACAGGTGGCGTCACCCAGGACAAGAGCTGAGAGACAGGAGTGGGAGTGAGGGACGCTACACTTTCAGAAGGGTGGTCACCAGAGTCTGAACTATAGGCTAGATACAAAAAGTGTTATAATTACAGAAGAATATGGTGACTCACATCTACGCTCCCAGCACAGAAGGGGCTAAAAAACATGGTGTGTTTGAGGGCAGTCTGGGCTACACAGTGAGACCCCGCTGCAAAAGATTTGTAAGCTTCCCAGAATGGAACCATGTTCCACATGTCAAACTCTAGGTAACCCCCTTCAAAGCAACAGAATTTAAGAACCCTGTATTAGCTGGGTAGTGGTAGCACACGCCTTTAATCCCAGCACTTGGGAGTCAGAGGTAGGTGGATCTCTGAGTTTGAGGCCAAACTGGTCTACAGAGTAAGTTTCAAGCAGCCAGGGCTACACAGAGAAACCCTGTCTTGGAAACGAAACAAAACAAAAAAGGATCCTGTTGAGGCTAAAAGAGGGTGCTGAAGAGACTAGAATCAACAGGCAGTTGTGAACCACTGAGCCATCTCTTCAATCCGACCTCATTATCTTATCAACCATCTTTATTTCACCTCCGGCTGAAGAGCTCTCAGTCAAATGAACCTTCTGTCATGGTTTCTAGTGAGGATGCTCTGCCCTGGCCTGAACACCCCAAGGGAGCCGGACCCCAGGCACCCCTCCCTTCACATGCCCTCCCATTCCACATCAGGGCACAGCTCTCCTCACTTGATGAATTTTCGGGCAAAGGATTTAAGCTTCCCAGTGGCGGCAGCAGCAGCCAGCAGCAAGTCCAGGCTCTTCCCGGACAGCATGTGTCCCAGCACTCCCAGGAGCCCCTCTGGGGACTTGGAGTGGTCCGCATCCATTGTCTGAGGACAGGACAGTAAGTCAGTGAAGGACACTGAAGACCCCCAGACTCAGCCTAGCCACACTTTCTGTGTGTGCCCCCTGACAGGCACACTGCCCCTTTAAACGTAACCTGTCACTTCCTGGCTCCAACAGGACAATCGCTGCAGAAATCTGCTCACTGCGAGCACTGTGCTCAGCTACACTGGGGTGGGGGAGGATCTGCTGGGAGCTTCCCTTCTGTGTCTTCATGGGGTGGTGTCTGTAGTCACCAACCCTAGCGCTTAAGACACAGTGGAAGGGCAACTAAGGCCAGCTTTCAGTGGCCTTCTCCTTTCCCACTCCCACAAGAGCCCAGCATAGAAGCCAGACAGCATAGTGACCAGTCTGTGGGCCCACTTTATTTACCTGGAAGTAGACGAAAGCTAAAAGAAGAGAGGGAGTCCACAGGCAGATGCACAAACCTTGAGGATGTTCGTGACAGTGGGCTCTGCCCGGAGGATCAGCCCAGGGTTGGGCTGGATGTTGGCATTTTCTGATGATTTTAGCTGGGGGTCCCGATCTGCAGTGCTATGGCCACAACCAGAGAAGAAAACAGAAACAAAGAGGATTCTTATTCTTCTGGAGACAGATCTCACACTGTAGCTCAAGGTGACCTTGAAGTCAAGGTAATCCTCCTGCTTCAGCCTCTCAAGAATAAAATCATAGGTGTGAACTACCATACGTGGCTAAGAAAAATATCTTGACAGTCTCTAATTCACTAGGTCTTGCACCTTTAATCTCAAGCCACTCAAGTGGTTGAAGCAGGTAGACCTCTGCATTTGAAGCCAGCCAGAGCTATATAATGAGACTCTGCCTTTTAAGAAAGAAATCTCTCATCCAACTCCAGAAACGAGAGCTGAGAGATGGAAGCAGAGGAAACCTGGGGCTGGAGGTGTAACTCGGTCCCCCAGCATCGGCCTCACATGCACAATGCTCTGGGCTTAACCCTTAGCAAAAAACAAAGACTCTTTTGAGTTGGGATAAAGTTTATGACTGAAAGCGTACCCAATATCACGATCATTTCAATCTGTCGTTATCATTCCACCATCCTTTAAGATGAAAGGGAGACTAAGGCTTTCTCTTTGTCTTTTGCTCATAAACGAGAGTGAGTCAGAGAGCAGCAGCTCCAAGTATGAAACTCTGCTCCATGGTCCTGCTCCCTGGCCCCAGGACCGTCTCAGTCACTGCTACTCAGACTTCAAAGAGGAAGGGAAAGGCACCAGAAACCAGTCTGGCAAGAGAGAGGGAGATCAAGGGGCCCCAGGCAGCCCAAGGGGCTCACAACATACCGCTTGCCCACAAGGATGGCAAAGTTGACTTCGGACAGAAGCCCCTGTTTGTTACACTCTTGGAGCAGGAAGTTTGTGCAGTCACAACTGTGGGGAAAGCCAAAGGAAGAAATGAGCCAAGGGGTACAAGGTCTACACAGTCTCCCCACCCCTTCATGGTGAGGAAAACTCAAACACCCAAAGGTAGAAAGGCTCTCGGTGCTTAGTACCTATGAGCCTGCTGCCTCCCACCCCTGCCAAAAGGGTCCAGCAGGAAGACAGAGCTTCCTGCAGCTCATCTACACAGAGCAGGGAAGGACCTGGAACACCTTCCAGCAAAGCAGGTGAACAGGGGCTCATACTTGCAGCGCTGGTCAGCTTTGTCCAACAAGGGTGTGAGTTTCAGCAGGAACTCGAAAGCAGAGTTGACATCCTCAGTGAAGTCCTACAAAGATTCAGAAACTCCCTCCTGGGTTCTGTGTCCTCCAGCCCCCGCCCAGCCTAGCCCGAGTGCAGACTCACATCAACACCTTGCTCAGCAAGCGAGGAAGCAGGCTGAGACCCCCACCAGCCCCTAGGAACCTGGTGGGGAGATGGTGGAGGCACCACTCTCCACGTGGTTACCCTGGCCAATGGGGTGGAAGGCAGGCAACCTCAGCCACCACAGGGTCTAGGGCATGTGCAAGGAAGAACACTGATGCTCACAGGCCACACACAGCTTTCCTCTGGGCATAACACACTATCACTCAGCTGCAGCCTGAGAGACCCACCCACAAATGTCCATCCTTAGCTGCTCCCGTACCCTCACCTTATTCTCTAACTCACCTTTTCCCCATGAAGATATTTCTTCACTTTCACCAAAACCTGTGGAATCTAGGACATGAAGGAGGAAAGAAGGAAGATCAATGTCCTTTCTCTGCCTCGCACCACAGGACACGCCCCACTCCCCTCTGTGGGCACTGGAGTAGCAGCGCTACAGCTGACAGCGCCCATGGGTACTCAAGCACTTGCCGCCACCTGGCCTACAGGACATGGGGTCTCCCATTTCTGCCACCTCAACAAGGGAAGAACTGTGGGGGTCAGGGCCGCTGTCCTGGCTCTCCTAGCTGCCCTGAACCAATCTGATTTAGGATGAGCTGGGCAAACAGCAGAGCCCCTGGGAGCTAAACCAGCCGAGACACAGAGAAAACGGTCAGTTGGGGTCTGCGCTGGAGACTCAGCAAGTTGGACTAAATGCCAGAAGGGGACACCAGGGCAAAGGTCCAGCATGCTGCTGTTTCTCTTTGCTGTTCCCATGTCACCAAGTACCTTGAGATAGGTGAACGCTGTCCACTTCAGCTCCTGCGTACCCTCAGGGGACTCAATGAGTCCCACAAAGCAGGCTTTCCAGATTTCCAAGACAAAAAGAGGGGTGGGGATATGCTGTGGAGAGAGACCACAAAGGAGGTGTGAGCGGTTGCCCAGATCCCGGCTCCCTTCCACAGGCTCTAGGGGCTGACTGGGTCTCTGACTACACAGCAGGGTTCCAGCGCCAGTGCTCAGAACCGATCTGAGGTCAGATGACAACAATGCATGACTAGCATCTGTTCCACTAAGGAATCAAGAGGAAATGAATTCCTCTCTAGTACCAGGCTCTTCCCTCCTGCCCTAAAAGGCCACACCCACCTGCATGCGCTTCACCATCATCAGCTGCTCCACCAGGGGCTGCATCTCCCCAGTCAGGTTCATCGTGCCCTCAAGCAAGATCAGCGCGTGGATGGTGGGGAAGCCAGTCTTGTGCAGCTGCTCTGAGTGCACGGACAACATGGTGGGGATACTGAGGAGACAGAGACACAGGGGCAGCTTAGGGACTGAAGAGACCACGTACCCCACCTTCCCATTGCCCTCAGAAGCCTAACCTCCTGATAAGAGTGCCACACTGCTCGGCCTGGCTCCGGAGCTGGGGGTTGCTGAGATTGGCCAGGATCTCCCCGAGCTTCAAAAGGCAATGCTCAACGGCAGTCCAGGAGGCTGGCAGGGAAGGAGCAAGGTAGAACATGATGGGAAGGAGAAGTCGGGAATGGCCCCAGACTCCTCCACCCTGGGCCCATGAAACCACACAGCAGGCTTTCTCTGAGGAGGATGTGGAGGCAGGGTCCTGAGGGCAACATGCACTGTTTCTACAAGGGGACAGGCAACATGGGACAGAGCACTCTAGAAACCATAGCAAGGGCCTGACTTCCAGAGACTATCCACACGGAGACACACGGCAATGGGGTGGGGTAGAGTCCAGCGGCCAGGCAAGGACAGAGGCCACCCTGGAAGGCCAGTCTCATAGCAGCAATCAGGTCTGTTCTAGGGAAGCTAGCTCTAAACACCTTGCCAACATGGGTATCTGCTCTCTTAACAGTGTGCCCAACTGGTCTAGCCCACTGGCCTCGCTCCTAAGTGCCCACACTCGGCGTCTAATTGCTAGTCACTTATCCTGGTTACAGCTCCAAAGGTCAGATGATGAATGATGGCACCAGCTAGCCAATTAACCTCCATGTAGCACAGAGGTAAGAAAAGGACAACCAAGACCTGAGGTCCATTAAGTATTCATCTACTTTTCTACCAATAAACATTTATCAAGTGCTCAAGAAGGCAAGGCACTGCCAACACTAACAAGAAACAGACGAAGAAAAACTGTCAGTGCAGCCCATTCTGACACAGTGATCACTCTTCTGTGGACTTTTCCCAGGGGAAGCGATTGAGAGGTAAATAGAGACTAATCCCCTGACAAGCTCTCCAACTGAGCCCTGAAGACATGGTGTCACCCACTGTAGCATCCATGTCAGTGGAAAACAGGAGGCCCTTAGGTGGCCTTAGCCACTGGGGCTCAAGCAAGACTGTGGCCTCAGGCCTCAGTTGCTGAAATCCTTCCCTCGATCTGCCTGTTCTCAGGCTCTGGAACTAAGAGTTAAGAGGTAACAGTCCTGACAGACAGGCACTGAGCTTAACCTGAGTTCCAGGTCACACCTGCGTCATCTGCTTCTAGATGAGAAACATGGAGATAGACAAGAGCAGACGACACGCCTGTCTTGTCCTTGAATGTCCTCCAGGTGCATGGCATTCGAGCCTTACTCCCCACCAGTGTGTAAGCTTGCTGAGGGCAGGGACCCTGCCACATGCTCCTTTGGCAGCCCTCCCTCCCCCACCTCCAGCATCTGGCACAGTGCTGGGCACACAAGAATGCTCAGTAAATACCTGTTGGTTGATTGGCTCGGGTGCCACCCTGCCCAAGTCCCTGGGATGTATGCAATGCTTATGGGGAGAGAAAAAAGGAAGTGGGATGATTTCGGATCCTTCTAGAAAGAAGTGGGATGGCATCCTGCCTCTCCCCTCTCAAAGGACCAGCCATAGAAGTAGCAGCAGGCAGGGTGCAGGGGGGTCAGGGGACATACAGGCCTCCTCTAGTTTGGCGATGTGTAGCAGAGCTCGGTTCTTGGTGCTGCTGAGGGTCTTTTCCAGGCACTGCAGGCACAAGGCTAGCTGCTTTTCCCCAGTGGCTGGAGTGGTAGCCTCCAGTCCCTCCTGGAGCCGCTCTGCAGAAGCGGCTGTACAACGCAGCAGCCAGTGGAGGGCGCTAAGAAGCGCTCGGCACAACCCGATGCATTCCTCTGCTTTGCCGTGGCAACTACCCAGAAAAGGATGAAAATTTGTATCTATTCCAAAAGCTGAAATCCAACCCACACCAATGTTCCCCAGAGTCTCTGGCACTCCCCTACAAGGGGACAGAGTTGGAAAGTTGGCAGGATCCAGCGTAAGCCACCTAGTCCAGCCAGCTTCCACTAGACAAGATTTTAAACCTGCTCTTCCTAACAGAGAAGTGAGGAATGGGTAGAGAAGCTGGGGTGGGCAGGTGCGGAGAAGAAACATGGGAACTCACAGCTGTTCTCAACCTGTCTCCTAGACTATGGGCTTTTCCTCAGTACTGAAAGAACAATGAAATGTTCTAAGCTTCCCCATCTCTTACCTGAGTCGGTCACAAAACATGTCCATGATATCCAGCAAAGCCTGGACACACAGGTCCCGGGAAAAGTCATCAAACTGGGGAAAGAACAAGGGAAAAGCTACAACATTGCCTAGTCAACCCCAAGTCTCACAAGCAGCAAGTGTGTGCACAGGCCTACTTCCCCTCCCTCCAGCCAAGGGCTGCAGACTAGCATCCTCTCCATGTGGAAGTGAGTTCCCAATTCCCAGGACCCCCTCGGTGGCGTGGTCATTACCTTACTGATAGCTGTGAGTACAGAGGAGTAGGAGACCATCTGGAGGGAGACAAGGCAGTCAGACAGGCGTCCACTGGAGGGGCAAACTCATGCATAAATGAAATGCCACAGCTCTGAATCGCCAGTCCCTTCTAGAGGCTTCCTCAGCTCACGAAGAGACACACAATTATGCTATCTGTTGTCTTTGTTCCTGTTTCTATCAAACTCACTGAAAATGGCATCCACATAACAGGACTTTCAAGGACTCAAAGGTACTCTGTTTTGCCTTCTGATGCTGTTCCTTGCCAAAAAGAAGCAAGGTTTAGTTGGCCACTAGTAGGCAGAAGAGCCACCGAGAGTGAAGGCAATGTTGCTTTATTTCTATAACCTTTTTGTGTAGGGGGAGGGGCCCAAACTCAGCTTCATGCCAGCTAGGCAGGGCTGACAAGTGAGAATCTGCTGAACTGAAGATTCACTTGGTGGTCAGTGCCGGCCTAGCGTGTGCCCTAAATTCAGTCAGAAGCAGAGGTGGTGCGCACGTACGTGTACTAGTCCTGAGCTTCTGCACTAACTACTACTTCTGTAGAGAAGACAGAGGTTGCAGCTGAACAAGAAAGTGCCTGGAGTACTTGCCTAGGTGAGCAAGACCCAGAGTTCAAGCTCCTGCACCAGTGACCTTGAAGGACACAGTGATAGCCCCATAGTTCCAGTTATGTGGGAAGCTAAGACCTAAACTTGAGGTCAGTCTGAACATCATAGCAAAACCCTGAGCCAACAATAAAGGGCATGTGTGATCTTATTGGGGCAAGGAGGAGTGGCAAACATGTCCTACACAACCTTCACTCGATCAGGGGATCACTCTATTCAACGACTACCATAATCCTGATGTTTACAGAATGAATAAATCAAAACACACCCCTAAATTAGTCACTTCCTGAAGCTGCTGCCAAAGCTATACTAACAAAAGGTAATTAAGATGGCAGACACCCGCAAAGCCAGCACTCGGGACTGCTGTATAGGCCAGAGCCAGCCTGGGCTACATAGTAAATACTAAGTCAGTCTGGACTACATAGTAAGAGCCAGGCTTAAAAACCAAAACCAAAATAATTTAAAATGTTGGTTCCTGGTGCTGGGGATGTAGGTCAATGAGGGAGTACTTGCCTAACATGTTCAAGGGCTTGGTTTCATCACAATACTGCAAAACAAACAAACATTTATTTTTTTAAACTTATTTTTAAACTTGTATTTGATGTGTAAGGGTGTTTATCCTGCATGTACATTTGTGTCACACCCATGCACTGCCCTGTAAATCAGAAGGAGGATGGGATCCCCTAGAACTGGAAGAAGTGGCCAGCTTTCTTCCTTTTCTTTTCTTTCTTTCTTTCTTTCTTTCTTTTTTTTTTTTTAAGACAGGGTTTTCTGTGTAGCCTTGGCTGTCCTAAAATTCACGATGTAGACCAGACCAGGCTAGTCTCAAACTCACAGAGATCTGCCTCTGCCTCCCAAGTACTGGGATTGAAAGCATGCGCCACCATGCCTGGCCTGTGGCCAGTGTTTTTAACTTCTGAGCCGTCTTTCTGGCCCACAAATGAATTTCAATTCCTTAGGCATACTATTCTCAATTCAAGCGCTGGTGGCTACAGCGTCATTCAGCACAAAAAGAGCACTTTCTTTACTGGGGAAATCATATTGGGCCAGTTTGCTCCAAAGCTTCTTCTAGACATGAAGAAGCATCACAGAGTTTGGTGATATGCTCAGTGGTGAGAGCATGGACTCAGACTGAAGCTGAAGGTCCTAGCTGCCACGCCCAGCACTGAAAAGCACAAAAATAAAGAAAAAGGCAGAGAATGATTTTTTTCACATGCACACACACACGTTACGTGTGATAAAATTTTAGAAACCTGAATTAAAAACATATGGCTGGGTGTGGTAGTGCACGCCTTTAGTCCCAGCACTTGGGAGGCAGAACTCTGTGAGTTCGAGGCCAGCCTGGTCTACAACAGTGAGTTCCAGGACAGGCAGGGTTACACAGAGAAACCCTGTCTCAAGAAACAAACAAAATGCATAAATACATACATCCCCATTGTGAGACTTCTCAAAACCATAATGTATTTATAAACAATGAGAGACGACTCAGTGGGTAAAGACTCTTGCTGCCAAACTTAATGATTTGAGTTCAACCCCCAGGACCCAAAAGCTGGAAGAACTGACTCCTACCGGTTTGTCCTCTGCCCTCCACACATGCGCCCTGGCATACATATGCCCCTTCCCTGAGGTGCACAAGCAACAGCCTTCAAAGTTATTTCATCATGAGATCTCATTTAACTGGTACTTCCAAGATTCATTTTTACAAATTCTGCCTAGACAGTAAATTCGCTGCGGACAGATATAATAAATTAAATTCCTCTGTTTCCCTAGCAGCAGGCCTAGGGCCTTGGCCTCAGAAAGTTTTCATTGCTTCAGGTAACTGAATGATATCAAGGAGATGCAGTCTGAAAATTTTTTACCTTGCAACATATTTGTTAGTAAAATATATTCGTCACCATAGACAATCAGTTTGAAAGAAATAATTTGTTCTGAGTGAATTTAAACTCTTAGCTCAGCAGGATGGACTGTAAGTAGCTCCGTGGTTGAGAGCTAGCCCAGAAGAGGCCCTGGGTTCAGTCCTTAGCAGTGCAAGGAACAACAACCATGCGCTTGCAGAGTGCAGGCAAGTCACCTGGGCAGACTGGGTCAGACATTTTAAGTCAGAACTCATGGATGAACAGGAACAAAATACAGACAATTAACATTCCGAGCCATAGGACAGCAGGATACACTGTGACGCTGAAGCCCGCGTCTGACAGTGATCAGATGGTTGGGAGCCTGCCTGGGCAGAATGACCGTGCCCTTCCAGGCTGGTGTTTGTTTATTTATAACCAGGTCCCCATAGTGAAAGCTTGGAGAAGAACTGAGTCTTGCTAGATGCCGACCTGTAGGGGGAGCTGGATGGTGCAACTTAAAAATCGACCCCACACCAAGGAGAGAAACTCCCAACTGTGTATGTGTGCTCTTAGCAAGGGCGTTAGTCAAAACGAATTAATGGCCTTCATTAATTCTGATGGTGAATTCTGTATATTTCTTCCAAGTTTATCAGTTTAGGGCTGCTCTGGACACACCTGAAAGCACTTACCACACGGTGACCTGCTTCTCCTAGGAGCACATAAGTCCGTTCCAGACTTAACAATTCTACCAACTACATGCTCGAAGCTGACACAAGTCCTCGAGGCTAGAGGCTGGTGTCTGCACGTGTGGCTAGCCCAGGGTGACCTTGCAGCTGTCTAATCCTCTAGCTCTTCTTCAAATTCAACATCCCCAACCACTCCTAAGTGCCCTCTCCCGGCTCAGCACGGACCAAAGAGCCTCTTAACTCCGAAGGAAGAATACATTACTAATTTTGCACAGCACTTGACAGGCCACGTACATTCTCTGCAGTCTTTCTCCAGCTTGCCATTCTCGTCAGTTATACGTCATTATACATCCTAAGAGTCTTCTATTTCAGAGAGAGCTTCCCACAGACTCCACATTCCCATTTAACTACCTTCTCTGTTCTCTCCAGACACGGAGTTCGCTACTGTCTCTACCTCCGCACCCTCCGCTTGCTCTTCACACTGTAATCACTTCTGTCCTGACCCCTGTATGAATCTTTACATACAGCCATCAACAAACTCTTGCTATTAAACCCACGGGCTCACTTTTGATGGAGCCCAGCTTCCTGGCAGCAGGTGACACCTGACTTTCAACCTTTCTTTTCTTAGCACACTAAATGTATCTTTATGGTTTTTCTCTACTCTCTTCGGATTATTTCTTACATGTGCTCTTGACAGATGATTAGGTGCTCAGGAATTTGTTATGGACCACTTCTCTTGCCCACATTCCCTGAGCAATGCCATCATGACTGCATCCTCCATTACTATCCAAGTCTGACCACTGGCTAGGATCTGTCCCCACAGATGACTATGCTGACAGGCTGGCTCCCCGCTAGCAGATTAATCCATACGTGGACTCGTAAACTGACGGCACGGCACGACTGGAAGGGAGTGGACACTTCTGAGGCGGGGCCTAGCTGGAGGAAGAGAGGCACATTTCTGAGAGGCTGTCCTTGTCCCCAGCCTCTTCCTAGCTACCAAGATGTGAGCAATCCCTGGGCACCCTTCTAGCTGCTATTCGGCCTCATCACTGTGTAGAAATGACAAAGCTGGCCAGTCGTAGCCCAAACAAACCCTTCTTTCCTTTGGTGGCTTATCTCCAGAATCCGTCACAACAGAAAGTGACCACACGTTTCTAAACCAACAGCTCACATCTAGACTCCTAATTTCTAGGCATAAATCTGCCTCCTTCTGACGGTCTCCTCAGACAGTCCGAATGGGCTCCGTGAACGTAACAAGGCTGGAATCATCCGCTACCCTCACAACCACACCACTCTGGTTCTTTCTCTTCATGACACTATAAGCTATCAAATGTCCCTCACTCCCCTCAAGTCACCAGGTCTGGCAGCAGAAACTGAGCAAAGAGGCTCATGCCTGAAATCCTGGCACTTAGGTTGAGGATGACACGGTAAGTTCAAGGCCTGGGCCACATTCAACCAGTCTAAAAAAAAAAAGAACAAAACAAAAACAGAAAAAGCTGGACAGTGGTGGCACACACCTTTAATCTCAGCACTCAGGAGGCACAGGCAAAGAGGTCTCTGTGAGTCTGAGGCCAGGCTGGTCTACAGAATGAGTTCCAGGATAGCCACAACTACACAGAGAAACCCTGTCAAAAAAAAAATAAATAAAAAAAATAAAAAATAAAAAACCAAACAAACAAACAAAAAAACAAACCAAACAAACAAACAAAAGAAAGAGCAGAACAAACCACAGTAATCACAACAGCAGGGTCAGGAACAGAGCACTTTGCTAACATGCTCTGTTTGATCCCCAGCATAACAAACAAGATAAACAACAAACAGTGCAAGAAAGGACAAATAGGGCTGGAGAGATGGCTCAGTGGTTAAGAGCACTTGGCTGTTCTTCCAGAGG